TGGCTCTCAGGACTCTCTAATATAGAATATTTTGAGTGTATAACTTTTATTAATGAGCTCGGCGGACATATGTAGGGCCTAATTACCAGGGTGCACCCTGGGGTACAGTTTCTTGTGGCGACTTTTGACAACCCAGTACAACTTGCGTGTTTCCCAGCATACCGTCAGGCAGCTCTTGAAAGCCCTTGGTCCAGAGGGAGTACGACTGAGATCCATTCATCGCTTCAGGCGGCGACACTACATTTCAAAGGGATCCAATTATCTGATCCATGTAGACGGTTTTGATAAACTGAAGCCGTTTGGAATATCTGTTTGTGTCGCGATTGACGGGTTTTCAAGACGGATCCTGTGGATTGAAGTGGGACCTTCGAATGAAAATCCAAGAAATATCGCACTTTTTTTTCTTGGAGTATATCGAGAGGCTGCAAGGTGTTCCTAAAATAGTAAGAGCGACCGGAAACTCCTTGGTGTGAGATATCCAAACAGCATCCCGTTTATACCACCACGATTCATTTTAGTGCTGAAGGAAGTTTCATGCAAAGATCGCTAGCGCCGCGAACTTCACCACGAATACTGTTGCAATCGCGTAGGCGCCATCTGAGCAAGCGGTACGCCTGCGCAATGCACGTTACTGCATAGGTGCAGGCGCCGCGGCAGGCACGTGCACCTGGTCAGCCTGCGCCGAAGCATTACCGTAAACCGCGCAGGCGTATCGCTTGCTCAAATGGCGCCCATGGTAATTACACCTTTTGGGCAGAGTTATCCATCTTGCGCCTTCGGCACTACGCCTATACGATCTTTGGATTTATGCACGGTCGTTCAGATGTCAATCAACGGATTTGAAGCATGATGGTCTCAAATGAAGCGTTTAAGTGGACTGGAGTGGATACAATTTTTCAAGGATTGACGAGACTCGGGGGGGGTGATACTTCCAACGATCTTCACGTCGAATGTACGAGATTTACACCTGTGTGGTTTACACCTCTTGAAAACCCTCCTGTTCACGACCCATCAAATGTTCTCAAGTTGCCTGACCTTTAAAAATCTTTTAAAAAGTCTCCTCACAAGTTAATAATAAGCAGGCCCCCATTCAACTTTTAATGCATTTTCTGAAAATATCTTCCCCGGGCAGCACCACATTTCAAAGCGCTGGCTGACCTTCCCTTAGACAGGCATGACCTGCGTGGATATTTAAGGAAAACATGCCTGTTACTCTGGTGGTTTGACCCATCCTTTGTTTGTGTGATTGTGTACAAGCAAGGGGAAAAGGGCCAAGGGAAAAAAATCTCAGAAAAGACATGATGTGAATGGTTTCAATTGTACAATAATATCAAAGTGGGAGGAAATGTCACAAAAATATTGTGAAATAATTGGTTCAAATTGGTGCTCCTTTTAGTTATTCATGATGATGTGACAGAAAAATAATTTGTCTCTTCCTACAACCGTCAGTTTCCTTTATAAATCAGCAAATGACACTGGTTTTCTCATGCCTAAGTGTCAGTATTGACTCTCACACATTTAAAAAGTTAACAACTTTTTGATAAAATACACAGTGAGAAATGCTAAAAAACATTAAGACACAGCTGCCGAAGTGTAACTATTATACAAGCACTTTATATAACTGGAGTTAGTATAATGTAGAACGTATACATTATTCAAAACCAAGTAGGAACAGTTCAACAACATAATCAAAAATTATAAACCAATTTGTGTATGTTAAAATGCATGGAACAATGAGGGAAATGCACATAGACCTATGTGAAAATAATTTCGTGCTTTTAATAATAGTGATTTCAATATATGCAAGGTGGTAGCAATTAACTGACTTAGTTTCCTCCTAGCTTTATATACCAGGATACCCATATTGATAATGCTGCAGATGAAACACAAACACTGACCGTGCATTGAGAAGATTAGTGATCGGTGAATACAGATTATTCAAACATCTAAAAATAAATTTGAACCCACTCCAAACCTTGGACATTTAAGCATCAATCGAGAACTTACATGTCATAACAGAGTATCATAAAAAGCAAAGAATTAAAATTCTTAGTTCTTTATGTTAAATATTGAGCTTTGCTTCAAATTGTGTATCAGTTGTGTTTAAAAATATTCCCGATTTTTGTGATTTATATCATGCAAAATGGGCATGGACTACCGTTCATTTCCACGGCACTTGAACTGACTGTGCACAAGAAGTGCCACAAGGAATAAAAAAGACTGCTTGTCTCTGTCACAACAGATGGCACACTTTGAACTGGGTGAATATGGATTAGGAGGTGCACCGCTGTTGGAAGGCTTGAGAAGCATCAGCCTGAACTTGCTGCGGTTGACTTGTACCTCCTGTCTTCCTGAAGAGAACCTGGAAATGTACGAGTAAAAATGTTATACTGACAATTATTGGTACTGTGGCATATCTCCATCTGCCATAACTAGCTACAAAACCCTTTCTTTAAATTTCTGATTCTATACTGTGCAGCAGTTCAAAAGTTAAGAGAAAACATAGAATGCAAAAAGATTATAAGAACTCCCCTTTGACACAAACTTCTGCCTAGTAACTTTATGTACATGGTATATAAGTAATGAATGTCACTGAAAGATTTGCACAAAAATCCTGGTCTAAACTGATTATTCCTTGTAGTAAGTATTTTCACGGCTGATATTACATTACCGTGGGTGTGTCTGCTTCATCGAATGTAACGGGAAGGCTGTCATCCTGCCCTACAGTTTCTTCTGCGGCAGAGCTGTCATCAATGATGACCACAGCAGCCACTGAGTCAGGTCCGGAGACTTCACTAGAAATAGAAATGTCAGGCTGGGGGATGTCTGCTTGGCTTGAGGGCGACGAAGAAGAAATCACCCATTTAAATACACACAACAAATGAATGCAAGTTTTCATTCAGTTACTGAATTCATCTCTCTTCTCAATTTTTATGCTGTCATGATGGGAGTAGTATGCAAGTCATTTTTGATCACTTCTTACTGCAAAAATGGCAATGTTTACAAGTTCAATGAAAAGGAATATGTTATATTGCCTTGGTTGTTTTAGTGCTGATGCAGTTTGAGTATATTTTCAGTGGAAAAATCTATTTTTTATTACTTCCGTAAGCTACTTCTCTTCCTATATGGCTGCTCAGACTCAAAGTATTTGAGTCACGTTACTGAATGCTCCTAAAGATGTATCATCAAGTATCAAGATGTATCAACGACTCTTAAGGCTTGATGGCATCCCCATTTAATAATCAAAGCATCAAGGCCACATTTGTACATTCCAACTTACTTTGACTTCATTAATAAAAAAATAATAGGGCAAACAGTAAAGTTCAGGTTAATGTAAATTTATACAAACCTCTGATTTCTTTGTTTTCAGGTAAATCCTTGTTTTCAACCCCTTCTCTTCAATTAATCTGTCTACAAACTCCTCTTCTGGTATACTGTGCCCTTGGCCGTTTGCGAGCTCTATTTCCATATTATCCTTTGGTCCTTGACTTCCCTCAGGAAAAAAATACAGTGGAATGATCTTGTTCTGCAGGTTGCTGTATGTAATGTCTCACTAAAATGTTACAAATCTCACACCGCCACCCCTCTGTAACCGGACTGAAACAAGCTCATGATACAAGCCAATACATCAACATGCATGCACCTCTTCTCCAAACACACGCAGATTGGCCTAGACAGAGATTGTAACCCTATTAACTAAACCATACCTGCACCCACGGTGGTCAAGGGCATTTTGGCAGGGGTGGCTTGTCTCTGAGGTGAAAGAAGATGTCATAATTTAGTATTTAATTTCACAAGTCATGTGGTCTCAAAACAGCAGAACACTGAGGCAACAGAAAATCCTAGCGTAGACACATGTACATATAACCCGGAGCTTTTCTTTCTCGGTTTTATCACGCTCCTCTGCAGGACCCTTTCCCACTTCTGGTTCTGCAGTGTGTGAACAAGGTTAGGTATGACAGAGAGAATAAGACAAGACTATGCAAAATGAGATGGCACTGACCAAACTGTCAGTAAATGGCTTTTTTTTAAGTGAGTGCATATTCTGTTCAACCACACGATAGCTAAATCGATCCGCAGAAAACCTGCAAATTTACTCCTCTTGAATTTCAACCCACTCATTCCACTCCAAGTCTTCATACTAGAAAATCAATGACCGAGTATACACTGATGGCACATCACAGAATAGCTGTTAAGAAACCAATTACCGACAATGGGATTAAACAGCCGAACCCACCAAAAAAGTAACCTGCACACAATAGCATAATGTGAACGGTGAAATCTATGATAATAATCTTTTTACTATATGGCATGCAAGCTCACCGAGTCCACTACATGTATTTTGAAAATGATACAAAAGAAACAGAATAGGCAGTCTCAGCTTTCAGTAAATGATCTAGGGAACCAAAGTAGTTACTTTCTTGACATCTTCGCAAATGCCACTCTTTGTCCCTCCTTTTTATTTCCCGAATACGAGTGTATGGTCCACAGATATAAAGACAGGAACCGTTGAGTCTGTAGAGTTAGGCATGATTACTCTAAAGGATTAAAGAGAGAGACAGAGAAACATTTGTCCATTATTGAAAGCCCCGATTGTAAGTGAATGTAGTAAAACCTCAGCCGCGAACAACGCTTCACTACCACAGCCACGTACCCCATGTCCCAACGCAAGGAATTACTAACATATAGATCACTCTGTAGTCCCCTCAAAACAAAATATGAGAACCACATCACACCCTTTTAACAGAAAACTTATAAAAAGTGAGTAAACGAGATCGACCTACATACAACGAACTCAAGAAACACGCAGGAAAACACCAGACTGGTGCTCAGACCGCAACAAGGGGACTCTCTGGATGTCGTCATTACGAAGAAAACGACGCAAGGAGCCGTCGTGCCGTCGCGTCGTCTGGTCGCGTCGCCTAGAGGGAGGCTAAAGAGAGAGAGAAATGTTTGTCGTAAATAGTACACCATAACTATGAGCACGAGTTGGGAACAAAGTTGAATCTCGCTCGCGGGCGACGCGTCGCGCGGGCCCGCACTCCTCCATGTTTCACAGTCGATTGCACTGAAGCCTCATATCAAGACCGACGCCTCGTTGGTCCGACGTCGGATTTATGAGGCTTCGGACCTTTGAGGTGTCGGAATTATGAGGCTGAAAAAAAAAAGATCATTGGTGGTAAAGGCATGGCACGTACGTAAGTAGCATGATTTGATAACCTTTTACATGTATATGAGAGTATTGACATTTTATCTAAATTGCTTAGAAAATCAAATCCTTTTCTACTTAGAGAAATAAAGTCTGTTTTTTTTCTAAGAAACCTTGATGCTATCCCAATGCTCCTAATCTTAATTCCACTGAAAACTAAGCAGATTGGAAGAAAAATTGTTTCATCTCACAAAACTGATATCACGATTTATATCTCTTCCAGTTCCACATCAAGTACAAGATAGACATACCGATATCAAAGAGTTCATAGGCCTAATAATTTAAAATTTCATGACTATAAATGACATATACAGTTGACCCTCGTTTTCTAAGAAACCTTGATACTATCCCAATGCTCCTGATCTTAATTTCACTGAAAACTAAGCAGATTGGAACAAAAATTGTTTCATCTCACAAAACTGATATCACTTGATTTATTTCTCTTCCAGTTCCACATCAAGTACAAGATAGACATACCGATATCAAAGAGTTCATAGGCCTAATGATTTAAAATTTCATAACTAAAAATGTCATATACAGTTCACCCTCGTTAATACGATGTCCTTTGAACTTTGTTATAACAGGAACCTTGAATTATCAGTAATTAAACAATAAAAAACAGTGTATTCAGACTTACAATTCCCTTGTTATAAGCAGAATCTTGTTTTAACAGTGTTCTTATTAACGAGTTTTGACAAAATATGCAAACAGGTTTACAAACGGGTACATGGGCACATGCTTTAGGCCGGGACTTGGGAGTTCACTCTCCTTGAAACTCCTGCCAATAGCGGAAGATCCGTCCTTGTGAGTTCTTAAACTTCCTCCGCTGGTGGCGATGGAGCTTCTTCTCTGAGACCAGATTGACTTGTACATCAACGAACCTGGCCTCAGAGTGAAGGAGCTGAATCAACATGTACATTGGCACATTGATTTCTGGGCCTTGGTCTTAAGTCTGCGGAGCCAACCTTCACAGTCATTGTTCGTGCTGGAGGCCACACATCTGAGTAGATCCATGTTGATGCCACATAGTCAAAGAACTACAGGTAAAGATAGAAGAAAAACATATTTATGTATTTTGTAATAAAAAAGTTTTGTCCTTACTTCACATTTGTTTTCCAGCTTGATTTACAACTCAGTATCACAAACTGCACTGACAGTCGGTATCATTGTGACATCACTTTCATACTGATTTGAATGATAGTTCTGAGGATGTACATCATAATTCACATCACATGCATCAACAAAAGTCACTCCTAAAACCTTGTAAAAAGTCAATGGTTTAATAGACATTCAGAATTATGTAATATACGTACATGGGATGTGGGGTTAACCAGCAGATAAAGAAACAAATACATTTACAGAAGCAGACACTTTTAGGACCAATATGGTGTCGTGGTCTACCAAATGTACGCGCGCGTGAAGCCGAAGGATTGTGCGTGTGAGTGTGGTGCCACCGCAGTTATGGCGTTTAAACGGATTGGTCTATAGGAAAAGTATTAAAATACCCTGTACAGCATTGTAGTTTGAGCCTTCCCTCTATTCAAACATGGCTGGGATAAGCTCATGAGGCAGGTACGGCAGCCCCATATCAGATTCTGTAGCAGCTTGTACGAATTGTCTTTCTCCATGTAAGCTGGTTGGAGCCACGTTTCCTGGATCTTTCTCCAGACTGCTTGCTTCCAGTGGAAACAGCAGCCCTTCACAGAAATACCTGGAAACACTGATGCCAAAGCCCCCCAGTGTGCAGCCTCAAAGTCAGTGAGGACCTCCTTGAGGCAGATCTCTTCTTGAAGAAGCCGTCGCACGGCCGGCCTTCTGAACTGCCTTGTAGTCTCTCTTCTTCCTCTCAGCTATCAAAATGAAGACTAGTGGGACCTGTGAATGATGAATTGCACAACTTGTTTTGAACAATGGCTCGGTGGTTTAGTACATACTTGTAAAGCTTGCTCCAGCTTCTTGGTCTGTTGGCTGACTGAAAGGCGTCTGGCGGTCAGTGCTTTGAGTGGCCCCGCAAGATGTCGAGTGAATTTATAATCTTCGTTCTCAAGTCAGTGCCTCAGCTGCTACTTCCACTCTTGTCCTTCTTCGCTGTTGATCCATTTCCTTGATCTTGGTCCCGTTCAATGAGCTGGCTTTATAGAGAAGTTTTCATTTCTTTGGCAAGCTCGTCTAATTCGGGGTCATCGGAATGTATACTGAATCCAACAGATCAGTTTCAAGGATAAAGCGTTGAGAGCACTGGAGAGGAGAAGACGAAAGGTTTAAAGCAGGACTTGACATGGTGGAGTCATATGTCATTACAGTGGCTTCAGCCTTTCTCGAGCATGTGTTGCAGACTTTGGAGAAATCACTAAGAAATCACGCGAGTGTCTGTGGATGGCCGATTGAAGTTCAGTGGTGCGTGTGCGTGGAGAAACTCGGCTCAGTGTTTTGGCGGCAAGTTGGCGCTTGGTGTGGGGCCAGGATGCGTATTTTTATTTACACCGTAGCCTGGGATCTTTTCTGTGGTGGTGCCAATTCGCACATGAAAAGAGACTGGTGCTGAGTACGTACGCGAACGCATATTTAACGTGGGGGCGGAAACATGACATAATTGTTAAGACAGTTTAAGGGTTTTAATGCATGTCACTAAAAACTGGAAAACGTCTCCTTATTGCATAGCTTTAGATACTGCTAAATGACACGTGAGAGCTCCGCCAGGAATCGTGGTAGGCCTACGCAATACAAAACGTGAAAAAACCAAACGTAACTTCGCGACCGAAATACAAGGCTCATAATGAGTAAAGTTTTTATTCAGTCTCTAGACCGTTTTCCTTCTTCCATGCTTCAAATGCATACAGACAAAAACAGTAGTGCACCAAGGATTCGAATTTTTTATATCATTTTTTGCTGTGCTATACAGTGCACAGCTAGCAGTTATAATTTTTGATATCGGGAGTCTTTTACCATAGGTATATGTAGCAATATTGACGCACTTTGCAAAGCCGTAACCTGTCTGCTTGTTCGACTCTGTAAGCTGAACGCTTAGAGGAAATGACGCAGACGAGGTTGCAATCAAGACTTCAAGAACATGACACCCTGAACACATTTCAAGTAAAATATTTTGAAATATTGATTTTTTTAATGGAAACAAAAAATGAAATAAGAGAGACGAAAGGGCTGGAAATCTCAATCTGCTTGAAAACAGCCCTCATTAATGACCCACCTAAATTGTTCATAATGTTTGTCATATCGCACTTGTATTTTATCCCCCTCTCCCAAAAAAAGTAATAATGCTAAAAAACATTGCGTGAGCTTGGCTAACCTAGCTCATCAAGCCAGCGATTACGGTGGTGATTAAAATTCTACTTTTTTTCACACACACCACAGAAATAACCTGACCATAAGAGGAAGAGGAATCACCCCACACTGTCACAATCCATCAGTCTATCACCTCTGAAGTATCAATTGTTGGAACTAAATACAGAGATTTATTTGTTGAAGTACAGACACCGTCGTTTCGTGTTTTCGCGCGCTTGCTCTGACTGGTTCAGTCAGCATTAGTCTCTTTTCAAGCGCGAATTAGCAGTCGAAAAACCCTAGGCTACGGTGTAAATAAAAAATACGCGGCCAGGATCCCAGTGTGGTCACCGATGTGGAAACTTGTAGGGAAATTGCCTTCCTTGGACATGTTTTGGTTAATTATTAGGCGGGAAATTGGCACTTGGTGTGGGGCCAGGACCCTATCGTGGTTACTGACGTGGAAACATGTTGAAAGTTTGTATTCCTTTGACATGTTTGGGGTTGCCAAGTTTTGTTCCAATAAAGATACCCGGTGTAGACTATACCAGAACTGCCAAGTTTCAGAAATTCCAATGCGCAAGACTAAATCACATCACGATATGTTTTCAAATTTGTCGTGAAAATGATGTTTTCAAGTTAACATTTATACAACGTTTTGAGTGCATAGCACATGTACTACATTCTACAGCGCCCATCCACAACGGAACGGATAATTTATAACGCGGCAGTACAGCATGCAATGCCGGGCTATTTATGCTGCATCTGGATCTGTTGTTTAGACCTAGGTCTAGGTCTTCGCTGTATGCGGAGACGCCGAGAAAATAGACCTAGCCAAATCTCTAGAAGCCGGTTTCGGAGACGGCCTACACGTGGCGTGAATAGTCGTTAGTCAAGGCGCGCGTGGCGATTAGCTCCACACGTGTTCTCCACAAAATTCACGAGCTTTGCCACTCGCTTTGCACAGCCTGTCTTCCTCATGTATGCGCCATGTGTCCAGGTAAGCCTTGACTGAAGGCTAATACTGTTATACAGTGCAGTGCGCGCGTGCAGTACAGTATATAGAAAGCAAATTGATGCGCGCGACCGACCTTGTTGTCCAATGCGTGGTTTTTGTGCATTGTCGTTATCATTTGCAGAATGCGTGAGATTTTGAGCTTGATGCGTGAGAGCGTGAGATTTGGTCAAAATACGTGTGTCACACGCCTTATGCATGAGACTTGGCAGGTATGCTATACTGTGGGCGGGGAAGGCCTAGGGTATACTGCCACTGGGGATACGTTGTGCTGTGGGTCAGTTCAAGGACAAAAATATGGTGATCAATCTGGAGGATGTTACAATCCTGTTCGAGAGAGAGCAAACCTGAAGATACCAGTTCGCTAATCGATTGGTATTATCGGGCAGAATTCTTGTTTTTACCATCAACCCGCAATACACCCTAAAGGTGCACGGAGTAGATAATGACAGGATGAGGTCAATGTACGTGTCTCTCAATTCTAATTTCGAATTTGCCAATTTTTGTTTTGTCAACTTGGGCACTGAAGGCTTCTTGCTTTCCAATAGGCACATGTAAATCAAGAACCGAGTCGGAAATGGTGACGTTGTGGAGCCCTCACAAATATTTCAACAGAATTGTTAATTTCTCTCACGCCCCCCCAAAAAGAAATACCTGCGTCGCAGAGGCAATGCTGCCACTGTTCGCAGTTGTCGCATTGGATTGCCTGCTGTCGAAGACAAACGGCTGTACAACGCAAGGCCACAAATCCGACATGGTAGATCGTCAAGAAAAATTATGAAGGATAATTGCATGAAGTCATTTTTTTTGTTGCGATTAAACACAGAATGGTGGAACTGGTCATAGTATGACAGTGTTACACATTTAAGCTCAATACCTTTGAAAATAGTAACTAATTTGGCAAACATTAAACGCAAGACGATAATTAATGTCCAGCGAAAAAAATTTCACTTTACGGTACCGTGAGTGAATGACATGTTTTATTGTTAAGTAAAAGCAAAGTCATCAGGTAACTTACGATGATTGGTTAATGATCCTTGTCCTGTCACTCTGGAGCTCTTCCTATTGTACCAGTCTATGACGGTCAGACCGGCAAGTCTTTTGCCGCGCCACGGAAACCGCAGTGCTGTTAATTGACGTGCGTTTGTATCAAAAGAAAAAACAGCCGGATAGCCATCCCTTTTGATTAGACAGTGTTTAAAAGTCCCATTTAATCCATATGCAATTTAATCCCTACACCCCCAAAATTCTAGCCCGTTTTCATTGCAATATTCGAGTACCACCCAGTTCCCCCTTGTCAGTATTTAGAGAGGACGAGAAATAGCTGGGCCAGCAGATCGTCCGTTGTAAAATGAAGCAGGGATTTGGAATGGAACTGCGATATTTAAATTGCTCCCCGCCTGATAAAGACCGTAGATTACACAAAGACTACTTACTGCCATCATTATATTACATTAACTCAGACCAAGGGCCTATATAAATGTGAAATTCCATTATTCAACTTATACACAAACCACCTGGCGAAGCGGACAAGTCGTTTATAAATGACCTCAACGGACGCGTTGTCTCAACGGTCGAAATGTCCGAAGTTGAGTTGGCAAACGGTCGGGTTGTCCTGACCCCGCACAGTTGACGAACTCATTACGTCATGCTCACGAACATTTCTGCAACGTCCGTGTAGCGAGACGAGTTCGCAAAGTATTGTGGCGAAACAGGGTAGCTGCGCAGACTTGTGTTTAGTCTGGGTCATTAATAATTCAGGTCCGTCTAATTCATGCATTAAACATGCGCGCGGCAACCAATCAGAAGCGTGTATTACCTTAGGTCTGGGCGCTTGCTGCGTGGGTTGCCGGGACTTCTCAAGATGGCAGCGTGCTAACCAGAGCTCTGTGGACTTGTGTTGTGTTTCGAGAGTAAATCTGACGTACGACCGCTGGTGGTTGGGGATCTACCTCAAGTGTACCTGGTGCGATCGGTAAGTGTGGTGCATGTTCTCAGTTGCTGGAGCTGCCGATTATATCAGATCTCTTTGAAGAATGGGAATCGTTAGACAGTCTCGTTTATTTAAGAAGCGGTAGATTATAGGGTTAGGGAACCCGAGCGAACCAGTTAATTGGGGAATTAGCGAAGCTTAGACTAGAAGGATTGTGTGCCGTTGTTCCACGCTTGTTGGCATAGCGACGGTTGGTTGCGGTCCTGGTCTGGGAGCTTGCTTTCCTTGTTGAGGTTTACCGGGTGCAGGTTTCCGTTAGAGTCTAGTGAGGACTATTATAATCGCCTTCTTAATCAACTTACCTTTGTTATTCCGTAAATAACTTGAAGTGGGTGAGGGTTTTGTAAGTTACCTTAAACCTTGTTGCGATTCGGGAACTGTGTTGCTGCGTAAGGCAGTAGAGATTATTCTTGTATAAGTGTACCTTGTTGTATTGTACAGTTACGAAGATTGTAATTGCTTGTGTGGTCAAGAGTTATCAGTTATAAGCCATCAGTAGATTATTTATTTAGACTTGAGGGCTACCCTGATCACTGTGAGGGTTACCTGGTTATTGTGAGGGTTACCCTGATCGCTGTGAGGTTTACCCTGATCACCGTGAGGGTTATTCTGGTGTAGGTTAAGGATTAGG